CACGCTTCACTAGCAACTTTTGGACCCAACTCTTTAAGTGCCTTGGGTCAAAATTGAGTCACAACTCAAGTTTTCATCCGCAATCTGATGGCCAGACGGAGCGGTTCAATGGTATGTTGGAGGAATATCTCCGCCACTTTGTAACCGGATCGTAGAAGAATTGGGTGAAGCTTCTGGATGCTGCTCAACTGTGTTTCAATTCACAAAAGAGCTCTAGTACAAACAAAAGCGCTTTTGAAATTGTTACCGGACAGCAACCGCTACTCCCACACACTGTGAATGCACCAAACATGGCTAAATCTCCTCGAGCTGCTAGCTTCTCAAAAGAGTGGAAGCGAAATTTGGAGATAGTGCGGAGCTATCTTGTCAAAGCTCAAAAGGGGATGAAGAGGCATGCTGATCAGAATCGTCGCTTTGTTGAATACCAAGTAGGAGACAAAGTGATGGTCAAAATCCCAAAGCGGTATTTATTTGCGGGGGTCCATGACCCTCGCCTTTTGCAAAAATACATTGGACCCTTGTCCATTAAAAGGCGCATTGGGAAAGTTGCATACCGGTGGATACCCCAGCTTGGTGGAAAATTCATCATGTCTTCCATGTCAGTCTCCTGAAACCTTTTCGGGAAGACACGGAGGATCCTTCACGGAGCCAGCTCACAATACCCAATATTCGAGGCCCCAATTCAACCGGAAAAAGGCGTGTTGAAGCTATCCTTGATGATATAGTGATTCATGCCTCAAGGAAAGATCATCAAGAGTTCTTGGTGAAATGGCAGGGCTGTGATGCAGAAGAGAATACTTGGGAGAGGGGAACAAACTTCAAAGCCTTCAAGAGCCTCATTGAAGATTATTTTGCAAGTAAGGCGCCGAGGACGTTGCCAACTCAGGTGGGGGAGAATGTCATGGGCGGCTTTCCAGCCATACCCCATGACCCCTTGGGCGCGCCCCGTGGCATCCTAGCAAGCCTCCCAATGCCTAGCGCCACGGACGGCCCCGTGGTCTTGGCCGCGCCAAGTGACAAGCGCGCAGGTGCCTCTGTCGCCCCACCTATATCCCTCGCCAGCGCCGAGCCGCAGGCAGATGTCAACAGCGTCGCGCGCGCAGACCCTGATGCCAAAGACACTGCTGCTGATAACGGACCTGCTGCTGCCTTATAGAAAACTAATAGCCTGTTTGGCCAAGCTTCTTTTTGGCCAAAAGTGCTTTTTTTTTTTGGCCAAAAGCACTTTTGCAAAAATTGAGGTGTTTGGCCAAGCTTTTGGAAGGGTAAAAAAAGTACTTTTGAGGAGAAGCAAAAGCAATTTTGGAGAAGCAGAAAAAAGTAGCTTCTCTCCAAAAGCACTTTTTTGAGAAGCACTTTTGAGAAAAATACACTTAGAAACAGTTTTTTAAAGCTTGGCCAAACACTAATTGCTGCTCAGAAGTGCTTTTCAAACTAATTAGCCAAACACAAACTGCTTCTCACCAAAAGTACTTTTGAGAAAAGCACTTTTGAAAAAAAGCACTTCTCAAAATAAGCTGATTTTTGCAGCTTGGCCAAACGGGCTATAAGTCATTTTCATTGTAAATATAGAGTAGTTTTATTTCATGTACTTCCATTATGTTTCTCTAGCTTAGTCAAGTATAGTCTTGTAGCTTTGGATTATTTTTTTTTAAGCATTATTAGGGGGAATCAAGCAATCAAAACTTTCTAGCAAGCAAACAATTCTCTGTACTGGTGTCTCTCCCCCTCGACACCGCGTTGCTTTTCTGTAATAGCTTTCATTAATGCAATCAAGCTTTCTTTCATTCTCAATTCTCATTTCTGTTCTCTCAATTACTCTTGACATTGGTTTTCCCGTACGGCACTGACAATCTCATCTAGCGTACGAAGGGGACCTCAGTTGGCGGACAGTAACTGCACTGACATCAATTGCTTAGCCTTACGTCGCCCTTCTAAGGAATCTCGGGAAGACGCCACGTAACGATATATATGTAATATCCTAGCAGACAGGTCCGCTATAAAGCTTACCAGCCAGAAAGTCCTTAAGAGCGAGAAAGCCTGACTGTTTATGATTTATTAGATTTTGAGCGAGGTAAAAAAGGAAAGGGATTATAGAAACACAAATTAGTATGTTAATCCAAAATGCATAATAGCTGGGCTCCACTTACAAGATAGATAAACCAAAAAAAATAAAATAAGCAGCAGAACATTTGAAATGGTATAAAATTGAACGACTCTAGAGATGAGCAACATCACCATCCCAAAGAAAAATGACTAAAAATATAATCATAAAGAATAATGCCAAAAATAATCGCTCTGGCAGACTTAGATATTATTCATCTGAGAAGTGATCTTGTCAAATGCTCGCGTGCTGTTGCCAACGCTTGAGTTATCGTCTGAAAATTGCAACACACATTAGCATACACGTTTTAAAATACTATATTAAAAGTACTCCAAGTAAACAGGTTTAACTTTGGGGGGGGGGGGGGGGGGTTTCTAATGCTTCGAAGGAGACTCTCACTAGAAAGTCATTCAAAACTTGATAGAAAAACCAGCGTTTATTGAAGAAGCTATAGAGTCGATTACTAATAGTACTAGTTTGAGGGGGTTTTGTGGGGGGTGGGGGGGGGGGGGGGGGGCGACGTAGTAGTTGTAAAACTAACTATAATCTAACAAGAAAATGAATTTACTATGAACACTACCAAAACAATTGCTTTTCTTTATAATAAGCTAAACAAGGCGCCGGAGCATTTTGGGACAATCCAGGAGAGTTCTAACTACAAACCTTGAATAGAAAACATCGACTGCAAAATGGTTCTACTAAGCTTAGAGCATGAGATGTCTTAAGCCTGTTATTTTACCTGTTCTATAACACATGAAATTCCGACGGACTTTTATATGAAGTCAAGGAAAGGTAAAATAATTCTACATATGAGAGTTTTGTACCACAGTTAGAGTGTGATTCGGCAATAGAAAGAATGTGTTGCTTACCTGTTCAGACAAGGGTGCTCCATCATCCATAGTATGACTGGAAACTTTTCCAGCAATAATATTACCATCAGTTTCAAGAACCATCCTGCAGCATATATTTGAAACACCAAAACATTTTAGTAAACCGTTCGCTTATAAAAGTTGGAAAGTAAGGCAACAGTGCAAAGTGGTTAATAGGATGAATAGGGTATTGAACCTTAACAGTAGTTGTTAATTATCTCTCTTACAAAAACAAGCAGATATCTAGACCAATAGAAGTATCTCTAACAAGGGAGCTAGATCACAATGAGGTATCAGCATTTGAAGAAAAATTCTTTCAGTGCACCTATGAAATGAATGTTCAATTTGTCCGAAATACTAAAACCTGCTCTTCCATCATGGCAAATAAGAAGAGATTTAATGAATGTTCAATTTACCCAAAATATCAAAACCTGCTCTTCCATTATGGCAAATAAGAAGAAGAGAATTAATAAAAGGCAAACTAATTCTTGGGTTATTGCAGCAAACTAGTTGTTATGCATCCTCCAACTAGCAGCAATGGGTTCAGCTTTCACATGAAATATTCTGTCTGTTCGATCTCCATAACACCCAAAAGCTGATGAAAAGAGCATGGCAATCAAGTCTAAAAGCATGGTGCTCTACCTTTTCCAGTTCTCTGGTTGTTTTAAGCTTTTTCTTTAGATAGAAGAGGAAGGCAGGAAATGCAAAACTACTGAGGGCAACCATATCCATGGCCAAGTTAAAAAAAGCAGCATGTTGCAATACTGTCCTCGATTCACTCATATTGGTGCTTTTAAATGTGTGATAAGGCATAATTAGTTTTTGTAAGAGGATTGCAATGTTGTTTTTCCATGGCCTCACAGTCACTAAAATGCCTCCACAATGCAAGCCACTGGTCAATGGTACAAGAGTATGGACAAACAATGCTAAACTATGAACTTATTATCTTTCTTTTTTTCTTTGATAAACCCAGAAATCTTTCGTGCAGTGGCGGTTCCTAACTATGAATTTGTTATCTATCAATACACAAATGAAGACCAAACGCCCTAGAGTAACTACCACAGTCTCTCCTATAAGAAGTCTGTATATATTTCTGCTCAAAGGCTTCTCTTCTAACTTGCAAAGCCCAAGGCTAAATTCTTATTTGCATTTAATTTTTCACTACACTCACCTCCCATCATTGCGCCAATTATCTCTTGTTTTTATATTCTTTTGGCTTGAACAAGTAATTAATTTAACATTCCACTTTGAATTAGTTAGAGAAAATTTAAATTGAAAAATTAGTTCAATTAAAAAATATACACATGCCTCTAGTATGCCCCAATTTCTAGCTAATATTAAAATGTAAGTATCGTTTAATCTTGGAGAGAATAGCATGAAAATTTGCTTAGAAGCAGCAGAACAATAAACAAAGAAGGCAAAGGAATGATAACAAATTAAAAACGAAAAGTGAAATGCTCAGTGAAACCCAAAGACAGTAACACGTTAGAATACAGCTATAAGAGAACCAATGACTTACCCTCCATCCACAATCTCATCAAGGCATAAAAGAATGAGATCTAAGTTCTCAAGTGCCTCCCTCTGTTCAACGTTATTCCTGAAATCAATGCACAATGTATCAGACAGAAAATTTGCACAGATCAGAAGACTTCAATCCCTAAATCAAGGAGAAACTTTAGTGCCTTCACTATCAATACCTGAGGAGAAGGGTAACAGCATCAAAGAAACCCTGAAGAACAGTGGCTAGAACTAGTTCATTTTCATCATCGCCTCCAGTCACAAAGAAGTGGAGGTCTTGCACAAACTTATAAACAATAATGTTGTTCTCTAACATTGTTATTTCAGCTGCAAATCAGACTTGAAAGATAAGCTCAAAAAAATAAAATTTCTAGAATCTTTACTACAAGAGGTTCTTATTTCACTCATAATTATGCAGAGTATTTTAACCTAGAATATCAAACAAAAGTAAAAATCAAACCTTTTAGTCAAGCAAAAGAGGTCACCAAGAATTCCACTAAATATGTAGAAGATTAAATTCAGAACACAGTTACTAACACCTAATGTCGCCATCTTAGAATTTAGATCCCATAAAGTTCAAATACTAGCTACACCTCTGGAGTTCGGTGTCCTAGCATACAGAACTCATAAAGATAAAATCTTGGATCCGCCTCTGCCTATATAAGACAGCAAAATGCAACCGTATTTGCAGAAGCATGCTAACTATTTCAGACAAGAAAATCAAAGATCATGCAAGCAAAAACAGGTCACTAAGCATTACCTTCGGTGCGAGCATTTGTCTTTTGAGTCTTGGTAAAAATGGACTTTTCAAAGGCAATCTTGGCGCTGTTTGTAGGCCAATCATCGGAGTAATATTTAACAGCTACACGCTTTCCTTCCGAATCCAAAAGAAGTATGTTCTTTACTACTGGACAAGAATCCTATACAATCAAACGATCATCATTCAATCACAGCGGCAAGTTTCAAGCTCACTAATTTAACTGGTAGTAATAAATAACACATGGAAAAAATAGTCCCAATTCCATGCCTATATATATATGGAGTGAGATCTAAATTATAAAAATCAAATGGTTGATGACTAACTAAACCCAAGTTTAATTACAATCGCAAACATTGATACGAAAATTAGAAATCCTAAGCGAGAAAACAGAAGATTATCTAGATCATTATACAATTGACTGATTGAGCACTGAAATCTTAGATCCTGCCGAAACTGTAATTATTTTTTTGTTTTGTTTTTGGAGAATTAAATCGTGCGCCAAATAAAGGTGCCAGAGATAACAGAATGAAAAACGTACATAGTTCAGAGCCATTGATGAAAGAACGATTCCCTATGGGAAATTTTTTCTTCGATTTGCAGTGATAGAGTAGCTGTTCGCTTCAGATTTGGAAACTTATGGGGGTTAGAAATTTAGAATAAATATTTTGTGATAAGGATATAATTGGGCCGTTTAGCAGAAAACATTGGGCCGCTAATGAAGGACTAGCGCGATGATCCTTTTGAGACTATAAGCAAAAGCCCAGCCCAATTGTCTCTAGTTCTGATATGCTGTATGCTTTTATTTCATTTTTCTCTATTTAAAAAAAGGATTTTTACCTTCCTATACAATATTTGAAACTTATTTACCAAAATTGTCCTCGTTTTGTATATTATCCACCCTAAGCAAGGATTACTTACAAATTATATACAATCCATTATTAGTACCTTGAATTAGGGGATTTAGTTACATCCTTTTCCTTTTTTCTCTCCTCTCCTCTTTCCTCACTGCCGCATCTCTCATCAATTTTTCTTTCTTTCTCCATCTTTCTCTCGCACCGTCTTTCTCTCTCAATAAGGCAAGCCTAAAAGTTGTCTTCTGTCAATCAACCTATTGAAGTAACCTCCAGGTCGTATGAATTGAATATTTGAACACTAATCTATCATAAAGCTTTGAATTCGAATTTGGATTTTCAAAAATCATTATTTGTTTGGATGGGGTGTTGTTGCAAATAATTGGGAATATTACTTAGAGTTTATATCTCAATTTTGAGGGTGTCTTGGTGAAGATTAGACTTGATTTTGGCTTAATTTCATATTGAAACTCGATATGACATACAATATACTTACGAAATTGTAGTAAAGTTGTAGCGAAATTGTAGGTAAATTGTATTCTGTTGTAGTTATATATATTTTTTATTTGAATGTTGTATGAAAGTTGAAAAGTAGTTGTATAATATATGAATCGTTGTATAAAATTTGTATTTAAGTTATCAATACTATCTTTTTACATAAAGTTGTTGATATGTATCAAAATTGTATTTAGAGAGTAAGTTTTGATTGGAATTTTAGAGAGGAAGAAGCACACACCACACACAAAATATATACAAATCAGATGTACAAAATATACAAAAGACATATTATATAAAAATTATATTTAAGTTGTATGATATTGTCGTTGTATTTAACTAGGTAGGAATAATGTATGAAAGTTGTAGATAAGTTATAGATAAGTTGTACATTAGTTGTAAATAAGTGTATACTGTATAGTTAGTTGTAATTCAATATTACAAAATCAAAGGCAATGTGACTAATTCAATATTACATTCCAATTCGATATTGACTATAATTTCATTGAGGGTAAAATTTGATTATGTAATTTGACCGAATAACTTGTGACTATAATTATCAAAAATATCGATAAGTTCAAAATGTCTCTAAGCCAATTCTCAATACTTGTACTGAGTATTGCCATTTATCTAAGTAATAAGGAGCCCTATTTCCAAGTTGGTTACGTGATAGAGCTGCAGGCTTGCAGTGCTTATGTTGTAGTTTTGATTTCCTCCGCGTTACGAAAAGCAATGCATGTTTAAGGAAATCAATTGTGTTAAGCTGATAGCATAATCATATAAATATTATTCGTTGAAAGACATTTGCTAAAGAAAAATTTCGTGATGCTTAATTGTGTGAATATTAGAGTTAAATGCCAACAGGTGTTCTTACGTCAAATATCACCAATTTTTCAAATTATACATGGGTAGGCAACTAGATTTTATCATCATACAACTATTTTTCAACTTTCATACAACATTCAATAATAAAAATAATATATAACTACAACAGAATACAATTTACCTACAATTTTACTACAACTTTACTACAATTTCGAAAGTATATTGTATGTCATGTCTTGTTGTTGTTCTTCTTCTTCGAGTTTCAATCTGAAATTCAGCGAAAATCAAGTCTAATTTTCACCAATACACCCTCAAAATTGAGATATAAACTCCAAACGATATTCCAATTGTTTGCAACAACATCCAATCTAAACAAATAATGGTTTTTGAAAATCCAAATTCGATTTTAAAGCTTTTTAGTGACTGTCAATGGTGAAGAATCAAACACCTTCAAAATTTATTGATTGACAATTTTAATTTGAACACCAATTCTGCAACATGGAAGGAAATTGCTAGTTAAAATGATTGAAATCCATTGATGAATTCCATTAAAACTATATGCAACAAGAAAGCATAAAAAATAGAGAACATCAAATGAATAAAAATTGGGGAAAAAACAGAGACGAAGAGAGAGAGAGAGAGAGAGAGAGAGAGAGAGAGAGAGAGAGAGAGAGAGAGAGAGAGAGAGAGAGAGAGAGAGAGAGAGAGAGAGAGAGAGAGANAAGTATAAATTGATAAGGAAATAACTAATATTCCTTAGTTAATTCCTAATATAAAGGGATACTCATTTAAAATTTATTTGTATATAATTGGTAAATTGTATATGAACGTATAATTAAATTGAAACTTGAGTAGGGAGGGTAATAAGGTTTCAAATAGTGTATAGGAAAGTAAAAATCCTAAAAAAAAATTACTAGTAACAAGAAAAGGACTGCTAATTCATTTTTTTTCTTTTTTATATTCACTTCGTTTCTTGTTGCACATTTTGCTAGTTGACGAATCAAACTGATCAGACTATCCCGTTATGTTTGACGTGATTGCTACTTAACAAGTCAACTCGTATAAACCCAGATCACAAATTTTATGTTTTACCTTATTTTTGCTATTTCGAACACTAAGTTAACTAGTAGTAATTCAGATGTAGTTTCCAATTATATTAATTTATCCATGTGTAACAAAAGTTTATAGAGGTTGATCCATCTGCTTTAATTTTTAAGCTTGTTAAAGCATCAGTGCATTTGGAGATGAATACATTTTGGAGCTTGATAAGATTAATTATATTTTCCACTTGTTTATATAGTCAGTGTATCATTGCTAGCTTAGTTAGAGAGTTAGTTAGTGGTCAGTTTGGACAGCTGTCAGTTAGCTGCCAGTTAGTTGGTTAGGTTAGCTCTTAGTTGGTTAGCTTAGCTCCTTCTCTTTTCATACTTGTATATAATGGGTGGAGTCCCATTAGTTTCACTGAGTCTTTGAATGAATGATATCAAAAATTCTCTTCCAGAATATTCTTCTCCTTTCATCGAACGACTTCGAATCCATAGGACTGAGCTTCTGCCATTGTTGCTGCTGCATTCTTAGCTCAGCTAAGAAAGAAGCTACTGTTCTATTGCTGGAATTTGATATGGTATCAGAGCAAGGTCAGAAACTCCGATTCATTTTTCCAGATCTGTTGAATCTAATTTCGTCATTCTCGATTTTGTTTTGATCGTGTGCATGTAGTCCTCGATCTCATTGATTTCAATACATTTTCCTTAAAATCCTTCATCAGAGTTCTATCTCTGTAGTTAGAATCCTGTCCTGATTGATTAGTTGAGTTTTACGCCTTATAAGAGATGGCTACTGATGGAGATGTTGAACAACCTGCACCAACTGTGGCTGAATCTCCTAATCAGCCAATTGTTGATACTAGTAGCCCTTTTACATGCATCCCTCTGATAATCCGGGAATAGACCTAGTTCCTGTTTCATTTGATGGATTTGGTTATCGCTCATGGAGAAGAGGTGTAATGAGAGCCCTATCGGTGAAAAACAAACTAGGCTTCATCAATGGTGACTGCAAAAGGCCAGATCCAGACTCCTCAGGCTTTCGACTGTGGGAGAGATGTGATGATATGGTGACCTCATGGATTTTGAATTCCTTGGCAAAGGAGATTGCAGATAGTGCTGAATATGTGACGGATGCAATCGAGTTGTGGAAAGAGCTTGAAGATCGATATGATCAGACAAATGGAACAAAGCTTTACCAAATTCAAAAGGAGATTAACGACTTGTCTCAAGGAGCACTTGACGTTACTGGCTACTATACAAAAATGAAGAAGCTGTGGGAGGAACATACTACTCTAATTACCAAATCTCATTGCACCTGCAATTGCACATGTGGAGTAAGGGAAAGTATGCACAAAGCAGAACAGGATAGAAGATTAATACAGTTCCTTATGGGGCTGAATGAGACCTAACACTGTTGTTCGAGGAAGTATCCTCATGATGAATCCTCTTCCCACAATTACACAGGCCTTCTCATTACTGATTCAAGAGGAAAGACAAAGAGAAATTAAGACTCATAACTACTTAGCTCTTGAGTCATCATCCCTAAATGTCAACACAAACAGGATAACATCATTCAAGACAAATTATTCTCCTAATAACTCTCAAAGCTATAGAAACAGACCCTTCTGTGATTACTGCAAGAGGCCAGGCCACACGAGAGAGAAGTGTTATAAACTTCATGGCTATCCTCAAGGCTCCAATCAAAATCAGAATACAAATCTAAGTCATAATCAAGCTTCCAGTTTCAATCAAAATCCAAGACAAAACTATAACTATGGGAATAACTCAGGTATAAGCCAAGGTACCGGGTTCAACGGGGGAAATAGAGGAGTGGCTAATGCACATGTAGCAGCCATAGATACTCAACATACTGGTGATGAGAACTGCAGTGCTCAAAATGTCAATCTCACAAAGGAAGAATACAATCAACTTGTGAATCTACTGTAGCAGTTCCAATTAGGAGGAGGGAGAGACAGCTCAAATAATGTTAGCACTTCATCAGCAAACTTTGCAGGTATCATAGCTTGCACCTCCTCTATTGATTTCGGGAAACTCCCATGTGAATGTTTCAAGAACAAGACTGATTCATGGATTATAGATTCAGGGGCATCAAATAACATGACCTTTAATAGGTCCTTACTAACCAATATAATAACTCTACCTTATCCCCTACTTGTCATTCTCCCAAATGGTTATAAAGTGAAGGTGACTGAGATTGGTAATGTTGTACTTACTCCTAAGATCACTCTGAATAGGGTAATGTTGATTCCTTCTTTTAAATACAATCTGATTTCTGTTCATTCTCTAGCTTCTCATCTTAACTGTCTTGTTGCCTTCATCAAGTCCTATTGTATACTGCAGGCCCCTTTAATGAAGAAGCCTCTGGTGATTGGTAGAGTCAAAGATGGACTCTACATCTTGTGTCCAAGGTGCTTGAAGAACAACAATACAAGTCCTGGAGCAAATGTCATTGATTTCCTGTCCACCTCTGTCACTCACTGCACTTGTAACACACAGTGTCCACTTCATTCTATTGTAAATACAACATCTCATGCCAATAAGTGTGTTTTCTCATCTCCAATTGTAAGTAGTCCAAGTGGAGGCAATGAAAAACAATTTCTTTCTGGGAGTTCATTTTCTAATTGTTCTAGTCCTTTTTCTCATCTGTGTGTTGGAAACCATTTGGATGTTCTGTGGCATAACAGACTTGGGCATGTTCCCTTTGTGAAAATGAAAGGTATTTCCTCTATCCCTGTAACTTTTTCTCCCAAACAACCCTTCAATTGTACCATCTGCCCAATGGCCAGACAGGAAAGACTTCCATTTCCTCAGAAAACTAATACAACCAATAGGATTTTTGAGCTTCTACATGTTGACTTATGGGGACCATATCATCAGCCCACACATGACAAGTACAAATATTTTATGACTATTGTGGATGATTTTAGTAGGACCACTTGGACTCATCTCTTATCCAGTAAAAGCAATGCTTATCAAGTTCTTAAAGGATTTTTTATTTTGGTGGAAAATCAATTTGGAGTAGATGTTAAAGCTGTGAGAACAGACAATAGGCTGGAGTTCACCAACACAGAGACAAATATGCTATTTCAATCCAAAGGGATCATACATCAAAGAACTTGCCCTTACACTCCACAACAAAATGGGGTAGTGGAGAGAAAACATAAATACCTCTTTGAGACAGCTAGGGCTCTCCTCTTTCAGTCTAAATTGCCCCAAAAATATTAGGGTGAATGCATGCTCTGTGCAACCTTCATTATGAACAGGTTTGCCTTTCACTTCTATCAATGATCAAACTCTATATGAGCTGTTATACAAGAGAAAGCCAAAATACTCTCACCTAAAGAGCTTTGGGTGCCTGTGTTACCCTACTGTACCTAAGACTCATAGGGACAAATTTGAACCTAGAACAACACCACATGTTTATGTTGGCTATCCTTTCAACACAAAGGGATACAAAGTTCTAAGTCTGGCTACTAGAAAAATCACTATTTCGAGAGATGTAGTCCTCAATGAGTATATCTTTCCATTTGCAACTAATTTGGATATGTCTCCCCAATCTAGTGTATTCCTTTCATTGAACCTCTATGTGAGAAACCCTCTGATAGTACAAACATTACACAACAAACATTTGAACATTTGAGTGTTCAAGGGAGTAATGTTGAGAACACAACTAATCTCATGTCACCTACACATGATCATTCTTCATCCATGACACCTAATTCTTCAGCACAACTTTCATCACAAGATCATATTGAACAATCCCATGCAGAACCTATACAACTGAGACAGTCATCAAGAACACACAAGGCACCTAGTTATCTACAAGACTATGTACATTCCCTACCTAAACTTAAACCAAACACCAACTCCCTTAGTGCACTGTTTTGTGTAAATCACCATGTTGCCTCTGATCTACTAACTCCTAATAGCCAAGTTCTTATGAGGAAGCAGCCATTGATCCTGCATGGCAAGCTGCAATGACACAGGAGTTTGAGGCTCTATATTCCAATCATACTTGGGACCTGGTAGCTCTACCACCAGGAAAACAAGCAATAGGATGCAAGTGGGTTTACAAAGTGAAGCATAAAGCTGATGGTAGTATAGAAAGGTTCAAGGCCAGATTGGTTTGAAAGGCTACACACAACAGGGAGGAATTGATTACACAGAGACATTCTCCCCAGTAGTGAATATGACAACAGTGAGAGCATTAATAGCCACAACAGTGAAGAAAGGTTGGTGCATAGCTCAGCTAGATGTAAACAATGCCTTCCTCCATGGAGACCTTAATGAGGAAGTATATATGCAAACCCCTCCTGGGCTTGTTGTGGACAAACCTGGACTAGTATGCAAACTAAACAAATCTCTCTATGGTCTAAAACAAGCTAGTCGACAGTGGTATGCAAAACTGACTGAGGCTCTATGCTCAAAAGGATATACACACTCCATGAATGATCATTCACTTTTTTATAAGAAAAATGGAGATTCATTGGTATATGTTGTAGTATATGTTGATGATGTGTTGCTTACTGGAACTGATCAAGAGGAGATCACACGGTTGAAAGACTCTTTGCATGAGCAGTTTAAGATCAAAGATCTGGGGCAATTGCATTTTTTTCTAGGGTTGGAAGTGATGTACAAGGATGATGGTGTGATAATTTCTCAAAGGAAGTTTGTGCTGGACATGTTAAAGGAGTATGACCGCCTAGACCATAAGCCTTGTTCCTCAGCTTTAAACCCTACAGTAAAGCTAAAGGCTAAAGAAGGTGTCATTCTACAAGATCCTACATACTACAGGAAACTGGTAGGAAAGCTATATTTCTTAACCAATACTAGATTGGACATAGCATATAGTGTTCAACACCTGAGTTAATTCATGCAAGAGCCCAAAGAGCCACATTTGAAGGCAGCTTTCCATCTGCTTAGGTATCTGAAAAGTGATCCCACCCTGGGAATCTTCATGTCCAAAGATGCAGATTGTACAGTCAGAGCATATTGTGACTCTGGTTGGGCTAGTAGTCCAGATTCTAGGAGATCCATCACAGGCTATTTGGTGCTTCTGGGAAATAGTCAAGTTAGTTGGAAGTCCAAGAAACAGGAAACTATATCACTATCTTCTGCAGAATCAGAGTACATGGCTTTAAGGAAAGTAGTGGGGGAACTGGTATGGTTGAGCAGGTTGTTTCAAGAACTAGATGTCCCCTTTCCAATGCCTATCTCAGTGTATTGTGATAGTCAATCTGCACTTCACATTGCCAAGAATCCAGTCTTTCACGAAAGAACCAAACACATAGAAGTGGACTGTCACTTTGTGTGCGATCAATTACAAGCAGGGTTAATTTCACTCCACCACATTGGTACAGACAGCCAACTGGCAGATATTCTGACTAAAGCCTTAACTGGAATCAAACATGGTGCCACATTACGCAAGTTGGATGTGTTTGCAACACCTCCAACTTGAGGGGGGGTGTTAAGATTAATTATATTTTCCACTAGTTTATATAGTCAGTGTATCATTGTTAGCTTAGTTAGAGAGTTAGTTAGTGGTCAGTTTGGACAGCTGTCAGTTAGCTGCCAGTTAGTTGGTTAGGTTAGCTCTTAGTTGGTTAGCTTAGCTCCTTCTCTTTTCATACTTGTATATAGTGGGTGGAGTCCCATTAGTTTCACTGAGTCTTTGAATGAATGATATCAAAATTTCTCTTCAAGAATATTCTTCTCCTTTCATCGAACGACTTCGAATCCATAGGACTGAGCTTCCGTCATTGTTGCTGTTGCATTCTTAGCTTAGCCAAGGAAGAAGCTACTGTTCCATTGCTGGAATTTAATAGAGCCATTTCTAGATGTTTGTGAGGTGATTTGAAATGAAAATTTTAAAAAAATATTCTTTTGGAGATTCTTAAATTCCGAAATTCAATTTCAAGTGAAATTTAAAATTTTCATGATCAAATATTGGTGCCTAATAGAAGTAAAATTAGTTTTATGGCCAAACAGGTCGTAAACCTGTATAATAGCAATTAAATCAATCCTTCAACCCAGTGTGAGAATAGCAACCTGGTGAAGATAAATTGTTGGGAATAAATTTAAACCATCAATGAAAAATGCATTACTCTTTCTTTTCTAAACAACTATTACTAACATCAACAAAATTTCTTAAAGCCACTTATACACACTCTTAAGTCATAACTCATACAACATAAAAATAATTCCAACTTGACATAGGACTAAAATCAACAATAACTAGCTCTCTCTTTGTACAATCAATCGACTACTAGCAGCTATAAATTAGAGATGGTCTAAGGTTTAAATGAACCCCACGAATCTGAATTAGTCGGACCAGTGGTCTAAGGAGTGTAAAATGCAAGGCCACATTTGCACTTCCAGCCTTCTGGCTCATAGTTAGTGTACTGAACTCCAACTCGACCTGTGTTGGTTGGCACTTGTATGGCTTCACACGGCATACATCCATAGCATTTGTGTTCACAACTCGGCGGACTTGATCCAATCATTTTCTTCTCTTCTTTACTCATATCAGTATATTCCTCTATTTCTTTCACTTGTCCTTGTCCTTTATTGCTCATGTTTCCCTTTAAAATAAAGTGCAGAATAGAACTTGTTTAGTACATTTCGAATGTGTTACCATCACTTTTACTCCTGAGCAGTATAATCACATCCTACAAATGCTCAATAAAAAAAATGTACTAGAGACATCAGCTAACATGGTAGGTACTATTTGTTCATTCCTGGCAAGTAAAATAGGTCACAGTTGGATACTGAACCTAAGAGCCACAGACCATATGGTATCGACTCCTGAAATATTGTTTGATCTATATGATTACCCTAAGCAGGGATCACTAGTTCATTTGCCAGATGGAAAACAATTGCCAATTAGTCATGGTAAATGTAGGTTAGCACAAGGAGATATTAGTGATGTGTTGTGTGTGCCTGAATTTAAATTTAACTTGTTGTCAGTGATGCAGGACATTCACACTGGGAAGGTGGGGACTGGTAGAATGCATAATGACCTATACTACTGGAGAAACAACATACATAATAAAGCACCGCACACATTGACTTCCAGGTTGAAATTATCAGCAGGACTATGGCATAGGAGACTAGGGCATGTATCTCAGAAAATACTACAACAAATGGATATATGTAAAGCTGTCAATATAGCTGCTGACAGAACTTGTTCAATATGTCCATTAGCTAAGCAAACTAAGTTACCCTTTCCTTAAAGCACTAGTAGAGCTGGTAAAGTGTTTGAACTAGTTCATGGAGATGTCTGGAGTCCTTACAGGGTATCTACTCACGATGGTCATAGATTCTTTCTTACATGTCCTTCTATCCTGATTTCTTCCTGATGTAGGACCTTCACATTAGGAAGGTGAAGGGAACTGGTAGAATGCACAATGACCTATATTACTGGAGAAACAACATACATAATAAAGCACCACACCTATTGTCTTCCAGGTTGAAATTATCAACAGGACTATGGCATAGGAGACTAGGGCATGTCCCTCAGAAAATACTACGACAAATGGAAATATGTAAAGTTGTCAATATAGCTGTTGAAAGAATTTGTTCAATATGTCCATTAGCTAAGCAATCTAGGTTACCCTTTTCTTAAAGCACTAGTAGAGCTGGTAAAGTGTTTGAACTAGTTCATGGAGATGTCTGGGGTCCTTACCGGGTATCTACTCACGATGGTCGTAGATTCTTTCTTACACTAGTTGATGATTGTAGTAGAATGGTTTGGATTTTCCTGTTAAGGTTGAAAACTGATGTCTCAGTTGTAATAAGGACTTTATGAAGCTAATAAAGACCCAATTTAATGGTTCAATCAAAGTCTTCAGAAGTGATAATGGTACAATTAATTCACATTGCAAAGATCTGTTTAGTAGTGCAGGCATTGTACATCAAAGCTCTTGTGTCCATACTCCACAGCATAATGGAGTTGTTGAAATAAAGCATAGACAACTTCTTGAAGTGGCAAGGGCCATCAGATTTCAGGCTTCTATACCTTTAACCTTATGGGGAGTATGTGTTCAAAATGCAGCATACTTGATCAATAGGATTCCTACTACAACTTTAGTAGGTAAGTCTCCTTTTGAGGCATTTTATGGAAGAAGTCCCAACTTGCAACACCTAAGGGTGTTGGGATGTTTATGCTATGCCACAAATGTAGTTGTCAAGAGTGACAAATTTGCCAGTAGAGCAATCCCTGCAGTACATATGGGATATTCTAGTACTCAGAAAGGTTACAAGCTGTATAACCTGGCTACAAAATTATTTTTTGTAAGCAGAGATGTGTTTTTTAGGGAAGATGTCTTTCCTTTCAAGTCCTCTCATTATCAATAAAGGCCTCATGTTGTTGTTGATTGCTAGGATAGTTCCCATGATCCTTTGAACTTGAAGCAGAGGCTGTCACATGTTCATTGGAGCCACCATCTCCTACTGATACTATCCATTGTCCTGCTAGCACTCCTACTTCTTTGTCCTTGGAAGGTACAACAGCCAACGACAATAATCATACTACCAGACACAAATTACCTATTCCTTTAGCTGATGAGATAATGGTGCCAACCACCACTCATGGTGCTACTTCAGACCTTGTAGGTCCTAGCATGTCCACATGACCAAGAAAATCCTGCAGAACTTCTAAGCCTCCTGGGTGGCTAAATGATTACATACACACAGTGTCCAAGCCCACATCTCATACAGTAGTGGGATCTCCTTATCCCTTGTCAGCCTATATGTCTTATGTTTCACTCTCCAATCCCTACTATAAAGTTTTATGCAACATGTCTCCTATCATAGAACCTGATACTATGAGGAAGCTTTACTCAATCCTCATTGGGTAGAAGCCATGAAACAAGAGCTGCAGCCTCTGCAGGACAACCATACTTGGTTACTGGTTGAACTTCCTACTGACAAGAAGCCCATTGGGTGTAAGTGGGTGTTCAAAGTCAAGTATAATTCCAAAGGAGAGGTAGACAGATACAAGTCTCGCCTAGTGGCTAAGGGCTATACTCACCAGGAGGGATTAGATTACGAAGAAAGTTTTTCCCTAGTGGTAAAGATGGTCACTATGAGAACTGTCTTATCACTAGCTGCTATGCTTAGTTGGAGGCTACACCAAATGGATATCTTCAATGCATTCCTTCAGGGTGATCTTATAGAAGATGTTTATAGGATTCCCCTACCTTGTCTTTTAGAACATGGGGAGTGCAGCAAAGTTTGTAAACTCCATAAATCTCTATATGGATTGAAACAGGCCTCTCGCGAGTGGAACCTCAAGCTTTGTAAAGCTCTTCTATTTTCAGGGTTCATTCAGAGTCATTATGATTATTCTCTTTTCACAAAAAATCAGGTTCTCATTTGGTCATTATCCTAGTCTATATGGATGACCTTCTCATTACAAGTTCCTCTGTATCTGTGATCTAAGAGGCCAAACTCATGCTTCATCATCATTTCAAGATCAAGGACCTGGGGAGATGAGATACTTCCTTGGTCTTGAAATTGCAGTAGTAAGGATGGAATTTTAGTCTGTCAAAGAAAGTTTGCATTAGACCTTATTGCAGATCTTGGAATGGCTGGTTCCAAGCCTGTTGCCACACCCATGGAACTCAATTAGAGACTTACCAGCATAGAATCAAGGCTGTGAGACTGAATGTACTATTGATGAATTGCTACATGATCCTGCTGGATATCAAAGGCTAGTGGGAAAGTTGCTTTATCTAACTATGACTCGTCCAGACATAAGCTACATAGTGCAGAAGTTGAGTCAATTTATGCATAGGCCAAAGAAGTCACACATGGAAGGGGCTCTAAGGGTGGTGAGATATCAGAAGAATGCACCTGGATTGGGAATACTATTGTCATCCAAACCATCATCAGAGCTTACAGTTTATTGTGACGCAGATTGGGCAACTTGCCCTATGACAAGGAGATTAGTAAGTGGTTTTATAGTCAAGATAGGAGAATCTTTGATTTCCTGGAAATCGAAGAAGCAAAACACAGTATCTAGGAGCTCCGAGAGGCTGAATATAGAAGCATGGCAAATGCAATTGCAAAAATAGTATGGCTTACTGGACTATATGAAGAACTGGGAGTGCAACTGAAGTTGCCAGTGAAACTGTTTTGTGATAGCAAGGCAACACTTCAAATTGCTGCTAATCCTATATACCATGAGCGAACAAAACACATAGAGATTGATTGTCATTTCATTAGGGAGAAGATTCAAGAAGGTCTTATATGTGCAGAACATGTGCTCACAAACTTGCAGCTGGCTGGTATCTTAACTAAAGGACTAGAGAAGGCATAACATGAAGTTTTGTTATCCAAGCTGGGAATGTTCTACCTGTTCACATTACACAACTTGAGGGAGAGTGTCGAAGGTGTCACGTTAGTGGATCGAGTGACAGCTGGATCCTAGCTGGTGAAGGATCATTTTGAAGCAGTTGTTAATTAACTAATTAGAAGTAGTTAGGTCGGTTATACAGTGTATAAATATGTGTACAATGTATTATTTTTGATACAATAGTGAAAAGTTCATTTCCTTTCCTTTCTTCGTTGTTCCTTCTCAGTTGTGTGAAGCTTTCACATAAACATTCATGGCAGACGCTCGACAATGTTTAGTTATATAGATAGCAATGTGCACGAAAGATTTAACTGGACAATAGTAATAGTGGTCAGGCAGTTATTGAAATTATAACTGATTCGAGTTGCAACTTATTGGCCGCTGAACTCTTTTCAGCTTAGGACCAAGTGGGTGTTTGGATTGGCTTTTAAGCTGGTCAAACCAGCTTTTAAGCTATTTTTAGCTTATTCGAGTGTTTGGCAAAATTTAAAAAATGCTTAAAAGCACTTGACTTTTAAGCCAAAAGGCCCAAAACAAGCCAAAAGCAATAAGCTGGACAATCCCAACTTATTGCTTTTTGGTTTAAAAGCTAGTTGAGTTTGACCAAGTTGTTTACCTTTTTATCCTTAATATTTTTTATTATTCCAAAAATGCTCTTCACATCAAAAGCCCTAAATTTGTTCCTTCCTCTCCCGTTCTTCATTCCCTGCGTCTTTCCTCCATCGACCAACATTGAGATTTCAGATGAACTGTAGAAATGAGGAAAAAATAAAGTAATACGTGTGTAATTTCACTATCTATGGCAACTGCTTAGAAATTTAGTGAAACTATCCAGTTAACAACGAAATGGATGTTTAGGAAATTGGTAAAAAAAATTCTATTTAATCTCATGAAGGCAAGTGAACAATTTTAATTATCATTATTCTGTCAATTAGGATTTTGCTCAACTGTAAAAAGCTTAATACCAAATTTTAACTTTTGCTACTATTCTGGGACTATGTTATTTATGTGTTTGTCTTTCATTTAACTCTTATTAATTGTTTGATAAAGTAATTTAAACGGAAATAATTTTAAAATTTCTCTAAATAATTTAATTCAACGTGGCTTTAAACATGAATTAATTGAGATTAGAATCATTTTTGAATAAAAGATCTTATAGTAATTAACTTATTTTTAGTGTTAACGGTTTTAAGGATATTTTAGTCCTTATAACAGTAAATGTGTTTACAAGCACTTTTTAGCCAAAGACATCAGCAACTTATTTTAAGCTTCAGTACTTCTATTCAAACACTTATTTCTAAAACAAGCTTCAGCACTTAAAAAGTACTTTTAAATACCAAGTGCTTAAAAGCTACTTAAATTCAGCCAATCCAAACGGGCTCCAAATAAAAGCAAGATGCTAGTATATGTATTGGCTAGCCGATATTCCAGTATTAGATCCAAAACTAATTTACCGAACTTCAGTAAATAAAACGGTTTAAATCACTTTATAATAATTAGTAAGCATAACGCGTGTGTAATAAAAGTTTATAGAGGTTGATCCATCTGTTTTTTTTTTTTTTTTAAGCTTGTTAAAGCATTAGTTTACTACAACTTCGACAAATTGAATTATAAGTAATTTGTAGATAGATTTGAAAATTAAAGTTGTGTTTGAACATGAATACAATTTGAAGCTGTTTTTGGATGTTTGTGAGTGATTTGAATTTTTTTTGAAAAACAGCTTTTTTGAGATTTTTAAATTTTCGAAAAAAATCGAAACTCAATTTCAAGTGAAATTTGAAATTTTTATGATCAAACACTAATTCCGAAAAAGTGAAAATTTCCAGATTTTTATGGCCAACCGGGTCCTAAAACTGTATAATTGTAATTAAATCAATCCTTAAAACTAGCATGAGAAAACCAGCCTGGTGAAGATAAAATGTTGGGAGTAAATTTAAACCATTAATGAAAGCTGCATTACTCTTTCTTTTCTACACAACTATTACTATTTACTAACTTCAACAAACATTCTTCCACTATACACACTCTTAAGTCATAACTCATACAACATAAAAATAATTCCAACTTGACATAGGACTAAGAGCCCGTTTGGCTTAGCTGATTTAGAGTAGCTGATAAGCATTAGGTGCTGATAAGCACTTTAAACTGCTGAACTAGCTCTCTTTGTACTATCAATCGACTACTAGCAGCTATAAATTAGAGATGGTCCAAGGTTTAAATGAACCCCACAAATCTGAATTAGTCGGACGAGTAGTCTAAGGAGTGTAAAATGCAGGGCCACATTTGCACTTCCAGCCTTCTGGCTCATAGTTAGTGTACTGAACTCCCACTCGACCTGTGTTGGTTGGCACTTGTATGGCTTCACACGGCATACATCCATAGCATTTGTGCTCACAACTCGGTGGACTTGATCCTATCATTTTCTTCTCTTCTTTATTCATATCAGTATATTCCTCTGTTTCTTTCACTTGTCCTTGTTCTTTATTGCTCATGTTTACCTTTAAAATAAAGTGCAGAAAAAAAAAACTTGTTTAGTACATTTCAATGCGTTAATCAAGAATATAAGAGAAAACGAGTCAAAGGATGTTAAAAGTTACCTCATTTGTACTCAGTTTGTTCTGCAAAGAATTGAGATTTGATGCCAAAGGCCTGCTTCTAACAGAGATTAAACAAAGTGCGAATATAATTAAGACAAAACAGCAGAATTTACTCTTCATTTTCTATCCGCACACAAAGTGTTTGTATAAATGAGGCAGTGAAAGTCTGAATGAGAAAGAGACAGAGGGAGCAGACAAAAACAGAGGATTAGAATAATTGGAGTTTGATCATTTGGTCCATATCATGATAGCTTTATAACAAGGAGAAAGTAAAAGAGGAGAAACTCAAAATTCTCAAACTCCCATTTCCCAAAAAGCAATCCTACCAAAGCTCCTTGGATTTTTCTAAGGCTTCTCTCTGAATTGTATTGGTAAAAACGAAATCTTTACTTCTCAAACAAGTGATTCTACTCTGGCAAAAAGCCTACAACTTTTTCTTTCATTTTTTTTATTCTAGAATAAAATAGTGTTACAGTTGTACTAGTCTTGTTTTGACAACTCAATTCACCTTATGATTAATCTATTTTTTTTCTCATTTCTTTGTTTCTTTAGTTACACGTTGCTTCAAATCTTGAATGAAACTAGAAGTAACCTTTTTAGGTTCTGAGTAAAACCTGAATATATAGCAGCCTATAAAATTGACAGGTTATTTAACAGGAAAATTATGGGTGCCTAGACTGCAGAGCCTCCTATTCCCCCTTTTGGTCATATTCTGAAACTGGACAAGAAAGAAAATCTTTCTTTATATTCTTTTTAGTTTTTAATTCATGAAATAAAGTACACCGCATCAATGTCTGAGAGATACAGTACCAAAATAAAATAAAATAATTTGTGTTAGTAAAATACTAACAACAACAAATTCAGTATAATTCTACGAGTGGAATCTTAGAAAATAGTACATACGCAGACCTTAGCCTGCCCTAAACAGGTTGAACGACTATTTTCGTTAAACTTTCAGTTCAAGGAAAAATAAAAAATGAAACAATCAGAGACGGTCCTATGAATTAGAGAGAGGTGTCACCTACACCCGTAAAGTTCGACAAAATTTTATATATACTGTCACCTATAAGAAATATTGATAATTTACTAGTGGCGCCCTATATACAAAGCAGATTTTTATTGTATTCCAAAGTGCACCCATAATCTTTAAATCCTAGGTCAGCCTCTAGAAACACTAGCAACATGCATAATAACTGTTTGACCAAAAAGTGTTAAGATTTTTGTTAAATTAATTAATGTGAAAATAGAGGTTGAATCCTAATTAAACATAAAAATTCTAGATTTAAGATTGAAAGGAATCGGTGGGATAAGACCATGTTCAATGTTTGTCAATGAATGTTACAATAAGAACATGCAATAAATGCAGATAATGAAAATAAGCGTAATAAGAAAGAATTTATCACCCAAATGTTGGATGACTTGGGGCGATTCTTCTTCCTGACAGCAATGTGGAATAAGTATGTTGAGCAATGTCGTCAGTGAACAAGACAAACTTTTGTATATTCTTTATAGTCAACCCTTTACAATGTGCTCTTATCAAAAAGTGAAGATCCCTTGTTTGTTCTTTATCTCTTCATATTTATAAGGGATATTTCTAAGAAACCCTAAAAGTACAACATAAAGAATATGCAATAGAATATTCCTTATGTCTATTACTAAACCTATCCTATCGTACGTTGCTTCCTTGCTCCCGTTACTTGATCTCGACAATAATCCCTCTTAAGACGACATTTCGCCGCCATGGTCGGCTCTATCCTCGACTACGTTTATTTGCAATTATCAAGCTGTCCAAATTTAAATCAATACAATAACAATAATATAGCAAGAAGCCGAAGCCAAAGAGACAATATGTAGTTATGAAAATTAAAAAATAAGAGAGTACAAGACTAACATGAATACTACTAATATGGACAAGGAAAACTCACGACTACGGACTGCCCACTAAACTTCACCCTATCCACCTCCAATACCTTAAAAAAAATGAAATGCATGAATAGTTTAACTACTTTCATGAGCAGAGGTAGCACGGTAACCAAAAAAGCTTCTTCTCGTTGTCCAAAAAGAAGAGTTTGATTTTCTATTGGACCAAAGAAATGAACCCCTCCATTGACTTTTTAGCATTAGGCTAAAGTTTAAAAAACTATGTGAAGTAAGAGCAGCTTATAGCAGCATCAGCATTGAATAATGAATTCTCCTTTTCAAGTTAAAAGTGCAATAAATAAGGAAAGAAGAATGAAGAGCCAATAATTAAACAAGCTTTTTATTTGTTCTTTTAACATTTGAGGTAAGAACTGTAAATTTAAACCTGGGAAGTAAGCACATATAAAAGGAAAGCTGACAAGTACAATTCAATGCACACTTTTTAATTTCTTTTGCTATAGTACTAGCTGATGAGTGGCAGTGAAATAGCATGTACAGACAAAGTCAGGTAATAGGATATACTCGTAGGTATTATTTTAGTACGTATTAGTAATTTATTCGGGTTCGTTTGGTTTGAATACGACTTATGCTGAAATAAGTTATATTGGAATTAGTTATTCTGGTATTATTTTTTATCCACGGTTTGGTATGTTGTATTAAAAATGGCAATTACATAATTTCTAAGAAGAAGGTATAAGTTATCCCGGCACTAATTACCCCACCCCCTACAAGATATAAGTTATCCCGGTACTAATTTTAATTCCGGGATAACTTATATCAAATTTGCTAACCAACAAAATATAAAGGTGATATTAAATTTTTATATCATCACTATATCTACTTATACCTCGTACCAAACGACCCCTCAGTGTGTTATTGCAGGAAATGGTTATTACTAGTGAAAATGAGGTATTTTTGTGGGGGTGAAAAGTATGCAATGAGACAAGTCACGGAGGTTACTTAAAAAACGTTCTGTATATTTCAGAGTACTGGTTTCATTTTGGTACCCTTTTTTAAAAAAAAAATATATTTTTATTGACGTCAATCAGAATTTGATGATACACTGTGGTCTCTGTCATTCACTTCTCTATTCAAGATTTTAGGACTTCTCATACACTTTATATGCGTTTTTTTTTTGTTTTCCATTCGGTGTTTGGTATTCGGTAACCGTATTGGAGCCTGACTAATCTGAATTCACGCCGCGTAAGGCCCCATTCGGGGGGAAGCGCTCCCTACCAAGGATTTTTCCATATGCAGAGCTCGAACCCGAGACCTTTTAAGTGAAGAGCATTCTCATCCACTGCACCACATCGTATAGTGTTTATATACGTTTGATATATTGGTCTTAGTAAAATAATGCATAATGGAGGAAAAGAGGCTATACACCAAAAGACATTTAACTACTTCTCCATCCGCTTTATAATAAGTGATCTTTTGGCTTTTTTTATTTAGGTCTCAAATAAGCGTCCTTTTATATAATAAATAAGGAATTAATTTTATTTTTTCAAAAATTGCTCTTATTTAATATTCCTATGTGTCAAGGTAACAATTAATTAAGGGTAAGTTAGGTAATACATCTTTTTTTCTCTTGAAGTTCGTATTTTCTTAAGGGGCATATCAAAGACTAAAAAATCATTTATTATGGACCGAAGGAGTAATATTTTGGTGCATCTAGTTCTTTTATCAAACTAGCTAGCCATCTCGTCCCGTTCAAATTCTGTCTCAAATTTGTTGTTTTGATCTTTCTTTGTGCCTATTCTCACATAGGGGTCGTTTGGTAGGAGATATAAAAATAGTGCTGAATATAGTGTATTATTAATGCTGATATTAGTAATGTTGACAAATAGTTATGCTGAGGTTATTTCTTATTCACTGTTTGGTTTGTGGTATTAAGGCATTGCATAATTTTTTTAAAATATTAATTGTTTACAAAAATACCCTCCACATTCTTTAACTTTGGACATTTTGAAGGATTTGAGGGGCAATTAAGTTTTTAACCATGCCTATGCAAGTACTAAAAACCTTTGCATTGCTAATACCATGATTTGTTATGTATTAGTTATACATAGGATAATACCAAACATGATTTAAACCGTATTAGTTATACATAAGGTGAAAAATATACCAAATAAGGGAATAGTAATGCACAAAGCTAGTATTTGTATTATTTTTTCTAATACCTCCTACCAAGCGACCTCTTACGGTAGAGGAATGTGTATTGAGCAACAAAACAGTGATGGTAAGAGGACATGCTGCATCTAGTATAATTTTTTAAGAGCTTAAATTATATATATCGACAATATAAAAAAAGTTATACCATCAAGTCACTCTTTTTATTTTTAAAATTACAAATCTCATATTTTAAGGAGAGTTATTCGTAAATACTAATTGTCTAAAAAATTTATTACCTATTATATGAATTAGTTTTTTAATTTTCGGGACAAAAGGCTGGAGTAGCTCAGTTGGTTAGAGCGTGTGGCTGTTAACCACAAGGTCGAAGGTTCAACCCCTTCCTCTAGCGAAAATATAACTTATTTTTCCTTTTTTTTTCGTCTCTTCAAATGGAACATTTAGAGCCTTCATTATCAGCTGCAATGTGTATACTTTTTTCATTCATATATAATTATAGTATATCTTGCTTTAGATGTAGCATTTCTTATTTTAGATTCTTTTTTGGAGGAAAGGGAATGAGGGAAGGAATGACTTGTAAATGGTAGAAGAAAATGACACGAATTAACTCTACTAGTTAAATGGTGTTAGTTGAATGGGAACTGGAATTATTTCTTATTTAGTATATGGACTTATTTGGTTACTAATGCTATTATTATTTTTTGTTATAGCACGTAACACTAATTACAGAAGAGAACATTGATTTTTTTCCATGGAGAAATTGAACATGTTTTGACAGGATTGTCTTTATATAAAAAATTGGATTACTCCTTTGTGGTGGAGCCATAATTCAACTTATGAGTTCGGAATAATTCAATAATAATTTTGACTTAAACTTTATATTTGTGTTTAAAATTCAATATATATAGTTTATTCAAAACCCCAAAATTTTAAAATTTTAGATCCGCATCTACCTACAATGTCATTGTGCAGTTGTAGGAATATTTTCGTTCATATAGTAATTATAGTTTATCTTGCTGATATGTAGCATTTCTTTCTTTTAGATTATTTTTAGGAGGGATGAGAGAATTAGGAAAGAGTTTACAACTGTATAACATTATTAAAATAAAAAATTGGGGAAGTTACTAATATCTGATCTATTTCTCACATGGCTATTGTCCTTTAATTAATATTTATTTTGTGTTTAGGCTTATTTAGTATTATGTTATTAGGGTTATTATTTTCTATTACAATACTAGCACCAATAGCAGAACTTCTCCTTATAAAAAGAAAAATATTATACAAGTTTCAGACTTCTTCAATGTGGTGATGTATTAAGGTAAACATTAAACTGCAATTGCCCATCAATTAATTGGTTTGTACCCCCTTTTAGTCTTCTTTTCGTAAAAATTTTTCTTGCGTGTTCCCCTTATTTATTTTTCATTAATTATATCTAAAATAATGGTGTAAACGCTTTCCTTAACAACAACAGAACA